GAACTCATTTATAGGACCTTTCAGTTTAATAACTGTATACATATTTTTATATCATTCAAGTTATCGGAGGCGATACCCCAGCTTGGGATACTTGCACCTAAATACATTTTAGCAACTTATATACAATTCAATAAACAAGAATAAAAACAAAATTAAAACTGAAAGGTTGGTTTTCTCAAATAGAAAAAAAATCCAGAATGAATTCATAAAAATTATTGAATTTTACATAGGTGTCTTTGTTATATACAAATTCGCATATTTCTGTGATGAGATAAAAATGATATATTACTTGTGTATAGCTGTGAAAGATTGATTGAAAGCGCATTGACAGTAAATTTATTTGTGTAAAATATTAACGATGGATGGAAATTGAATTTAATTTACTAATAATTAAATGTCTTTAGGAACTTATATATATATATATGGAGGATATAAAATATATTTTAGCAATATGAATGCTTTCTTTAAAATATATTACCACGTGGAAAATTAGGGAAAACCAACTTCGGGATAGACAACAATTTATTTCAGGCAAGAACAAACTATGAGTGATAAACAAAAGATAAGCAAAAGAGGGAAGTGTACAGAGTTTGCAAAATATGAACATCAAAAAAATAATACTCTGCTAATAAAATAATAAATACTTTGTCTCAATATCTTACTGTAAATTGATGGGAATTTTAGTTTTGTATTTGTGAATTTTAGAGAGGCATAGTGGATTATACTGAACGAGAAACCTCTGATAATGTTTACATATGATTTGGCATGTACTTCAAGTCTGTAAGACAAAAGATATAGGCTTTATCTGTATTTAATTTCTTCAGAAAAGTTATGAAAAAAAGCGGATCTGATAAATTAGTCTTTCTTTTATAAAAATGATAATTAATCTTTATAATATGATGCACTAGCGCGCCATCTGTTATCAAAATTCGAAATTATTTTAAAGGCGTAAGTTTCTTTTTGAAAACAAAACAATTTCTACTGCCCTTACTGCAATGAAAAAATTAATGGGAGGGCTTGGTTCATCAGTGGTGAATGTCCATAGTTCTTATAAAATATCCATTCGAAGAGTCTAACAACAGTATCACTATAAATGAAAGTTCCAAAAATGCAATATAACAGCGGTATGGTATATTAAACTGGCGAATCCGCTGGGAGGGTTCACCACTGATGAGCCAGGCCCTCCCATTAATTTTTCCATTGCAGTAAGGGCAGTAGAAATTGTTTATTTTCAAAAAGATCTTACGCCTTTAAAATAATTTTGAATTTTGATACTTATAATCTTTGAAACTTTTTTTCTTTTGTTAGACCATGCTTTTTACTGAATTTCATGAAATATTGTACATATAAAACTCCATCATCCTGATCGTTGTTGTCTACACTCTGGAGAATCTGTGTAAGACCAATGGGGTCTTAATAAAGGCTTTGTGTGTGTGATCTGTCATATATTTCCACATTCCAATATATATACAGTAAACTCTCCTATAACGCGATTAATGTGTTCCGTGTTGTATGAAATCGCGTTATAGGAATTCGCGTTGTACGAAATAAAATTTGCATAACGCGAATGTTGTTAGGGCAAATTGTTAGTGACAAATATCATGTATTTTATTTTATAACGCGTTATACGAAAATTCGCGTTGTTTAAATAAATTTGTCGCAATTTTTTATCGCGTTGTAAAAATTCGCGTTATAGGAGAGTCTACTGTATTTACTTTAAAGCGTATATAGAAATAAATTTCATCATTTTTTAAAAAAAGAATTTCAAAATTTTTAACATTACCCTCCCCCCTGTTGATATGATTAAATAAATATTATAAGAATTTGAACTTCTTTTCACCTACGTTTCAGTTACTACTTTCACCCTTTTCAAGAAAAGACAAACCTTACAATTTATAATTCCAACAAGCACAAATACATTTTTATAGAATGGAGAATGAACTAGTTGTTTGTGAACTTAACGATTTGATTTCCGATAAAAAAATCATATTTAAAGTTCAATTCATTTTGTGATTACATTTTAAACTTTCTACAAAATCTGGATCTCTAATGTTTTCATGCGTTGAATAATGTGAATAACTTATGTAAATAAACTTTTCTCCTTGTTTGGCGCAAGTATCCCTTGCGGGATATAGCGCTTTGGGAATATAATAATAATAATACTAAACAAATACATTTTCTTATTTTTCATAGAGGAAAAAGTTGAAAGTCTATAATGGAATATTGTAAGACTCTCTAAGCGATACCAATCAAACTTTCCTACTATGAGAATATAAAAGTTTCCAGATAATTAATCTACAATTATAAATAAATAAACTAAATAAAGAAAAAAATATTCTTATATAAATGGGAAGTATTTATCTAAAAGTCATTAAGATGGGTTCCTCCATGGACGAAGTAATAAAAGGTAAATAGAACCATAAATAGACGCCATGAGATTTGATGACCTCATAATTCCGATATAAAAGTTTTAAAGTCCATAAATGAAGGCTCAGTGAAAACATACGGCTTGGCAGCCTGAAGCTTATTCACACCTTTCCTTGATAGGGTTTCTGATCGTCTACATGGTGGAACTTCCTCATATCTTTCCTATCTCATACCTTACCTTTATGATTTATCATTTGTTATTTTGATATATTTATACATAGACGTGTATTTTACATAGACATATGAAAAGTCCGCTCTAGACTGACTAGGGCCATTAGCCGGAAACCATGGTGTCTAGGTGGACGCTTCTCAGTTTACCAAAGCTGGTGTTGTGGCTTTGTCACCGACCCGAGGCCGCTAGTTGCGGCGACGGTCAATAGATGGCGTCAGGTTTTGACGTTTATTTTGACGGGAGAGGTGCCCTATGCTTCTATGGATCAATTTCCTTCTGGAAAATTTTCTATCTATATTCTAGCCTTAGACATATGAATGTTATGATCCATTAACGAAACCATCTGTTATGAAAATTCGAAACTATTATAGACGCGTATGATCCTTTTAATAATTAAACAATATCTAGTGCCCTGTACTGTGCAGTAGAAATTGTTTAATTTTCAAAAGAATCATACGCGTCTATAATAGATTCGAATTTTCACGTATGAATGAACATAGACGTGTTTCAAAAATACAAGTATAGGTATTCAAAAAATGAATCTGTTAAAGTATGATAGTTTTTATTTAAAAAATAAAACACTTATTTGACTTTCCTTAAAACAATGATGAAAAATATCGGACGATCTGTCTCATCAGTGGTGAAACTTCCCAGCGGTTTCGACAGTTTATTCTACCATATCGCTTTTTAGATATCTAAATTTGATATTGGATGATTCTTCTTATATATTCAATACTGTAGTCTTTAATCACGGTCATGGCATTTAATAAAACTATGGATATAAGCTTTGAGGACCGTAAAATTGAATTCAAATACAGTTGAACCTGTCGATAGCGCACCCCCCCCCCCCCCCTCTTGGGACTCACCTATAGAGAGGAGATGCTATAGACAGGTCACTTTTAATGTAAATCGCATCGTACTACGTATTTCAAAATCGGGCGCTATTTAGAGTGGGCGCTATACACAGGTTTAACTGTATTTTATCGCAGTTTAAGGACACTATAAAGTTTATATTATTCGAATATAAAATATTATTGTTTCAATAAGTTTCGTTATTTGAAGATAGATGGCGCAGTATTGTTTTATGTATGAGTATATTTAAACTTTCTATAGCGAGAATCTTTGTATTTTTTACGAAACAAAATATAACATTTTACTGTTCATTCTACGAAGGTAAACGTGCAAAAAGGCATTTCTCGATGCATGGAAATAAATGTATTTATCTATTATACCTACTCTTCACAGTCATTGTCTAGGCTTTCCTTGTACATCTCCACTGAAAATATAATGAAGTGTCGTGCATAGAGGCAGAATAGCTCAATACAATATTAGAAAGTGTAATATTCCTTCGATTAAATATATAAATATGTTTTACCAAATTAAGAAACAAATTTTAATTTCACCCATATCTCGCTTTGTGTCGGGGTTACGTTCCAAAAAAACACGACACAAATTGAAACGACGCAAAGTGAAAATATGTGAAGGCGCAATCAAAAACAAAGGTGTTGCCATATTTTAGGAAAAAAAATAAAAATTAAAGACTCAATCCAAAACAACGCAACTTCGAAAATCTAACGACGCACAGTGAAAATCAGTAAAAATTAAGCAGCGACGCAACTTCGAAAAAATCGCAAAACGAAATGACGCAAAGCGAGGTATTGGTGTTTAATGCTATATTGAAACTTTTGATTATATTCATAACAACAATCACTACAGTCCTGCCTAATACAAACATTCAAAAATAAATCAATTAAAAAAATATATTATAATATTATTATATGGTTTATTACAGATAATTATAATAAAGAGAAAGAGAGAGGAATCCCCGAATATCATTCCTAAGAGATAAAATACAATAGACTCATTCTAGAATCTACAATCTCCAAAGACAATAACACCATAAACAGAAGA